ATGTTTGTGTGATGTATACGAGCATTTGTACTTCAGTCATGGATGTTTAATATGTATCTTTATATATATAATTCTTCTGTGAGTGTGCATGTCACTGAACTTCTCTTAAACGACTGGACCGATTTAGATGAATTTTTTTGTGTGTGTTCAAGGGGATCTGAGAATGGTTTAGATTCACAAAGACGTGTAGACAGGACAACGTCTGTCGGGTCCGCTAGTTTCTATATAAATATACTTATATATGTGGAGTATATGCATTTTATCCATTACCCTAGTATCCCATAACACAAGCCACACATAATACAGTGCTTACTTTGAATCTTGGCTAATGAGTGCGAGTTTTGGAAATATTTATTTTATTTATCTATTCGTCTTCATTATCAACCTGTTATTGTCCCCAATGCTCGCATGCAACACAGGCCTTCCCTATTGATGAAAAGGGCTACTGGGGCGTGACCCACCACGTGAGCCCAGTGCGGACTGGAGGGTGCTAACGACTGCAGATGCAGCCAAGACCAACAGTTTTACGTGTCCTCCGAAGCACGGAGGTACTGGAGAGTGGAGATAATAAGTTTTTGGTCACCCATCCAAAAGCCACCATTGCGAAAGTTCCTTAACTTCTAACCTAACCTAACTTGAGCTCCTCATTATTCGTCTCTTAGCGCATTTACACGCGCCTTAAAAACCTTAGTGCTTTTATAATGCTTTTAGACAAGTATTTTAAAATGTACGTCCCAAATGGAGCACGTAAGAAGGGCAAAATGAAGTCCAATAAAGCGCTCATGTAAATTATGTCCCAATTTTAGTCACTTTATTATTATTAGTATCTCATTTATTTCATTTCATTTTTATGATGAAGTCCAAAAAAGCGTTCATGTGAATTATGTCTCAATTTTAGTCATTTTATTATTTTTATTGTTATTATTACCAGTTTCAAAGAAATATAATTATAATGTTGTGATCAATCGCATCTTGAAACCACGGAGGTTTGAATTTAAGCATTGTACGCCTGTACGACAACATTTAAATTGATAACGGAGTTACTTTACTACATTAATAAAAAATGGTATGAATGCACATTTAAAATAGACAAAATATATTGCGCTTTGGATAAGTACATTGTATAATTATGTAATTAGAAAATTTATTTTTACAAATTGCTTAAAGAGTATTCCCTTCATTTATTTTTCTTAATAGCGTTTGTTAGTGTCGCCGCACACGAGCCACACGCCACGGCCACAAACGAGAAGCTAGAAGCGGCTACTTAGTTGGCTGAAGTGAGCGACAGCAGCCGACTAAGGTAACGGAGAGAGGGGTGGGGAACCGCACGAGTGACGTGTGGCAGCGTTTTGTATCGGCGCATTAAGTGGCCGATGCGGGCCACAAGAAGCGAGCAACGACGATTTGTAGTGTGTGGCGGCCACCGGCGTACCGTATGTGGCGAGTCCATATAAATGTATGAAAACTACAAGAAATATGCAGGTGACGGCGTTTTGTGGTTGTGGTCAGCGGCCCGTGTGCGGCGACACTTAGAGTGACCAGAAATTTCGGCGGCAATTCTTTGATAAATCTCGGAAGTCATGGTAGGTGGCATTTCTTTTTCCGTACACTTCTATACCTACGTGGTAATGTCAGACAGTTTGAACTTTGACCCTTTAAATGTTCTAAGGTCTGACTTATCACTTCAAGGGTGTAATTATTAAATTTCACCGACTCGACTAGATTAAAATTAATTTAGGTAATTGTATAATGATCTGCCTAGTAATTACCTTCTCTTAACGATTTATAGTCCGAGTCCGTGTGACACGCCTTTGACACTTTGGTGACTTCAAATTGGACGCAGTATCTGAAACAAAAAGGACGTTTAAAGAGAATTCTCTTTTTTGGAGTTTACTCCTTAAGAATCGATTTCCATATATAAGGGGCCCGGTATGAGAAAAATGTGAGGAGTAAAATCTATCGATGAATGACCTCGTTACGTTTTTGGCGCGCATCCTGTGTCGCACAACTTTGACAAACAAAGATGACGGATTGACATAAATAAAATTTTTAAAATCTGAACTGAATTTAGATATTGTTTCTGGTAGAGCAATGGGGACAACGAGGTATGGTACAACCATTGATGCGGTATTTTCAAGATTCCTGAGCCACGTATCTACGAACGTCCATGTGTCTTATTTTAGTTACCATAAACCACTTGTCACTGTAATTAATAATGCAGAAAATGTTGATTTAATTAATATTTAAATAATGATAATAGTCTGATAATAATAATTACATAATTTATCAACATTCCTAATGATATATTTATGCACATATGAAATTGACTATTGTAAAAAGTTTAATGTAAAATATTTCGTCGATTAGTTATAATAAATATATATGAAATGAATAAATATATATTTATATATGTATATTATTTTCATTAATTTGTTAATTTACCCTTTCATACAGTATCAATCTTTTTTAAGTTAAATAAACTCTTTTTGCGTCTGGTTAGACTATCGAACTTAAGGAGTAAACTCCAGTCGTGCGTCGGAGCTGACACACACATTTTTTTTAAATAAAGAGCAACGCGGAAGGGAGTAGCCAATACATACACTATTCTGATTATTATGTATTTTTTTTGAATATTGTAACGTAGTGGTTTGACAACCTACAAGTTTAAATTTTGGTGCGAAGGTGCACATCAGGATGTTACAGGATTAAGTACCGCCCATTTAATTTGATTGGGTGGTCTTTGCAGCAGCCGCAACTTCTTTTCCGAAATTTTAAATATTTAAATCAAGTTTTCAAATTAATATTTGTTCAGTTGCTTGTAGCAAAGAATTATAAGAGTCGCTTTATTTTCGCATGAAAAGCGTCGAGAAAAGATGGCGCGGACGGCACTTGGTGACCGCGAACCAAGGGCAACAACGTCCAATTAAAAAGCAGATTTCGAGCTACGGTGTTGCCAGCTCCGTGTCACGCTCTTCTCCTATATGACACTTTTGTTAAGGCTTTAAACAGACACCTTTTTATGAATTGAAGCATCGTTTGGCAGTTTTTTGTGTATGTCGAAAGAGCTTTATATTAAGGAAACGCACAGATATTTTTTTCTATGTGTTACATTTTGTATGCTAAAACATTTGCTCATTTTTTTATTCCAAATATATATTTGAATAAGAAACTTGGAAAACGGAACGTTTCGGAAGGAATATCGAAGCAGTGGTAGGGCAACCCCGACGAAGCCTTCAGTTTTCTTTTTTTTTTAAAAAAACAACAACAAAGAAAGCTGTAGACGAGGCTGTATGGGCATTGTTCCGTTCGCCTTCCCAAAAAATGGGAGAACGTTAAAAGACTTTAGTTTTCCAGGATGACTATGACAGCTAATGTCATGTATTTGTTTGGAGGGAGATTTGGGGAGATTTTAAGATTGGCGATTTTAAGAATGAAGGCCCTAAATAAAAGGACTGCGATATATTATTTCAATGCAGCGCAGTAAAATTTTACCGCTCGCTATGTTGTATGGTGTGCAATTTTTTAATTTCGAACAATGTATAGAACCTGTAAATGCGCTTTTAGCAAATGTGTTATTTTCTTTATTTGTAAACCATCAAGGTTCATATTTATGAACAAACCTAATTTACACAATATCTGAAAACATGTCATAATATAAATTTTTAAGTAACATAATATAAACCATAAATTTAATTTCGACAAGGGAAATAATTATGGAACTGGATGGTAAGAACAGCTACTGCTACTACTAAGAATTCACATGTTTCACATTTTAATTTGGGTTTATTAATATGTCATATTTATAGTTTTGTAAAGATTTGTGTCTTATTTAATTATGTAAGGCATTTTGTCATAATTTCTTAAGCATTATGGTGTTCTATGAATGTCATTCAATTTTGTTGTTAATAATTTTTTTAACCATGTCAATTTGTATTCCTTTATTTCAAATAATTACATTACAAACCCACAGATGCATTTTTATTTTAGGGATATAATAAAAATGCATCTGTACATGTTTAAATGGCTTCACCATTTAGGTACAAAACCTACAATAATTTTTTAAAGTAAATTCAAAATTCAAACATACAATTAAAATTTAAGCATAATTTATTAAAAAAAATTGCTCATACCTACTTTGTAAATACATACACATATATCTACATGACTGCTGCAAAAAAAACAGTGTAGTAGCTTTTTTGACCAGTAATTAGTTCTATATTTGCTTTAGTAACTAATACACAGAGAAATATAACATTTTCTCCGACATACAGAAACCAAGGAACACTTGCCAAAAAAGTTATTACAGAATAAGGTCATCTCTCGAGAAATGTTTTACAAACATATACCATCTTTACTCTAAGACATGCAATGTATATTTATATAACATTGCAATTTTGAATGTCTCTTTAATATTAAAAACCTCACTATGTTAGGGTTAATTTATTTTTATGGACATTATGATTTGCATAATCCTCATGTCTCAAATACATTAACAAAACACCTGTGACTTTACAATTCATTTTCTGTTTATAAGCATTCTTAACATTAGGCTAGTGACAAATCAGTGGATGTTTAGGATCAGTCTCATTTATTATCTGCAACAGCACTTGGAGATCCTCTAAACTTGATATAAACTTAGATGCACCCAAAAGTTTAACAGATTTGCCTTCAAGCTCTATAGTGAATTTAAGATTTTTGGGACAAGTCACGCACTTCAAAGAACCACCATCAACATTTTTATTAAAAATCAAATGTGTGATATTAGAGGGAATAGAAATTTTGTTATTGACTTCACTTTCCACTGAAGAGTTTATTTGTTACATCACAATCAACACCATTGAGGGATACATTAGCTTCGGTAACTTTACTCGGACTTCCAATTGGATTTTCTGTAGCCAAAGGATCACACGGTAAATGTTCTTCTATTCCCTTCTGCAATGCTTCATCAAGAATAGAAAGGCTGTGTGGATTATCAATTTCTTTAGTTATAGGTGGAACTTTCACTGCTTGATCTTGGTCAGATGCTGCTTGACTTGAATTGCATTCAATTGTACTACATCATCAATTAAGTTGCTCATATCTGTGTTATCAACCTCCATAGGAGTTGGAGTTGGTACTACTAGTTTGCTTGAAGAATCAGATTTTCCAAGAAGCATAGCTTCAACATCACTTGTTTATAGATGTGTAATCTAATTATTGGGTTTACTGCTCTTATTTGAGTTATCATTCAAAATATCCATTATTGAAGGTAAGTCATCAACTTTGGTTTCTACATTTTCTGCTTTAACCTCTGATTTTGGAACTGGTTTTTCATTGTACATTAAATCTTCTAATTCTGCCGCTATCCTATCATACACTTTGTCATTAGTTGGTTCCCCATTACGTGATAAATAATCCAAACACCATTGTTTACAAGGCAAAACATTTTTATCTATTAAAGGCAACAAATCTTGTAAACTTATTTTGTTTTCGATATCATTTTTTTTTATATTGCATCAACAAATAATATACCATATTGTTTTAATTGTGTAATACTATTTTTTTTTCTTTGATTCATTTGTAATGGAAACTCTGATGTTTGAGTTTTTGTCTTTTACCATGGGTGTCTTTTTTAAACGATTATTTTCTTTAAGCATATTGTTAGTTGGTTTCGGTTGAGTTACGCTATTCTTAGGTTTCTTAGAAGACAGAAGCTCCTTCACATGGTACTGATTGTAGGCATTCCTGTGAATGAGTACCATACCATTCTCATTGCTTTTTAACTTAGTATTGGAGTTCGGTGGAGTTACCTCAGAAACCCTTTTTGTTTTAGACGTGGAACTACTTTCATATTGTATTTTTACTTTAGTGAATTTACCTAAAATTTTAGCAAAGTCCAACCGCGTCACAACAACAGCACAGTCTCGACATTTCGATGCCTTGTACAAACGTTCAATGTTCTTGGACAATTTGAGAGCCCTGACTCTTCTGCTTTCACGTACTCGTTGAGAAATCACCTTCATCTGGCAAATGCTTTTTAATTCTCGGTTATAGCGAGAGAAATACCACACCACCAAATAATCAATATACACAGTCACATAAATATCTTTTCAATAGTTCACCTCATGGTTACTTGTTTTATATAACAATTAATACTATACCTTACGTTTAAATGAATTCAAATATGGTCAATAAAGTTAAAATTACACACACAAACGTCAATCAACTAGACACAAAAATGGCTTTGCTGTCTTGTTGTTCAAAATAACTCTGCTTCTTCTTTTTCCTTTTTTATGGCATGCACGGTTTGTGCGTTTAGCCAATGTCAAGTAAAAACTTTAATCATTTAAGTACGCTTTTATTTTTTTATTTATTAAATGAGGCTACGATATTAGGCTGAATGGGAAAAAGGTGGATGAATGGATGGTACGCATTCGAAATTTTAAATTAATCTCTCGCGCTTCCCATTCAATTTTCTGCGGATCCTGTTTTGTTTTCGGGATTTCAGGAAAGTTTAAAAAATACTTCTTTGTTAATTTGTTTAAAGATTGTATAAAAACGATTTAATTTAAATTGTTCCTATGAGTGAAGATAAAGTAGTTTAAGCAACTGTTATACAATTTAGGTATTAAAACACTGGAGTCAACCTATTATCGCTATATGTAAAATTACATGCAATTCATTTATATCGCGTTTACCAAACCGCTATTCTGCAAGTACGGCGTTAGCAAAAACGGCAGAAATGCTCTATATCTTATTGAAAAAATTCTCGTGTCACAATGTTAGTTACCATACTCCTCCGAAACGGCCTGACCGATTTTTATGAAATTTTATATGCATATTCCGTGGGTCTGAGAATCGGCTACTATCTATTTTTCATATCCTTAAGTGATAATGGTTTTCCACCTGTAACGTTATGTTCTGAAACCTACAAAATTCAAACTATTGGGTATTGTAACGTAGTGTTCTCTATGGGTTAGGAGGAATGTTATCCCAGGAAATTGATAGAACACTACGTTACACACCACTATTAAAAAAAATACAACTCTAAATTTTCTCTTCCACCACCTGCCCCTATTTTTATGGCGGTACGAAGTTCGCTGTGTCAGCTAGTAAAAATATAATAATTGAGCAGCAGCTGGCGAACAAAACGGTATAATAACATAAAATTAAATTTTACAGGTGCAGTAACAAACTATATGACATACCCACATTGATCTTTTGACGTGGTTTTTAATTTAGTAATTTTAACACCGTTTTAAGAGGTTTTGATTGAAAATGCGTTGAGATTCAAATTCAGTGGCCCCAAAATCTCCGGACTGTATAAAACATATTTTGACCAGCACCTCTAGTATTACCACCCAAACGGGCTATGATAAAGCTTTTTATAGAGTCTCAACTGTCAAACTCCACTGTAGTTACACACACTCACGTGTTCCCTCCCTAGTACAACCTGGGATCCTTTAAAAGAGGCGTGAAGAAGCAACATGCAGGCCGGCAGGGTGAGGATGGCTGGTGGCAGGTAGAACTGCTGTATCAGCTATCTTCGCGTCTGGACTTCACCTTCACTTAACATCAGGTGGGGTGGAGTTGTTTGTCGGACCTATCTATATAAAAAAAAAAATGGGTGCGTGTACTTATGTAGGCGCGTGAGAAGTTATCCTTCTTTGGCATCGTTTAAAATTAGTTTTTAATTGCATGCAAATAATTAATTACAATAAATTAATAAAAAGTCTGGAAAAGGACACAGTCAATAAAGTTCAGTTTTAATTTGAAAAAATTAATAAATAATCAAAATATTCAATTAAAATCGCTACTGAATATAATTTATTAGAACATATGTGATTTGCACTTGTATGAAACTCAAACACGTATTCCGAATATACAAACTAGAAACATGTGGATAAATATTATAAATATGAATACCTATAACTGTTACTTTATTACAAAAAATAAAGATGTGGTTTTTGGTTCTACTACACCAATGGTCAAGAGATGGCGCTGTAGTCTCCTGAATTGCGCTTTGGTTCCGTTGTTCCAGAGTAATAAATACTTTTGATAGGCCTTCACAATGCAGTCGTTAGCACCCACTAAATAGAGATTCTATTTCTATTTTGTTGGTAGATTTTCTTAATGTGCGGTAAACACAAAAGTAACGCATGAAGTTGGTTGGACCAACTTCATGCTGTTAAAATTTTGTGTTATAGTGATGCGCGCGCATCTTAAAATTTCACTCTCATCATTTTTTCATAACGCGCCTAAAGAAGTATAACTTCAAAAAGTCTGACAGTCAATGCCGATATATCGCTTTATCATATCCCGTTTCGGTGGTCATGCTAGAGGGGCAGATACGTTATTATACCGTATTGTTCGCCAGCTCCTCAATTCACAAGACTAGACAAGAATAAAAAAGACTGCTGTACTTTTAACACTAGGTATCCAAAAAAAATGTGTTTACCAGACTCTAGATCTGAAATTTGTAGCAGAAATAGCTTTACAATGTCCGTGAAAATATATAACAATTTGCCTGAGCCATTAAAGTCATTATCTATGTCCTTATTCAGACATCGTCTATATAAATTGTTGATTGAAAAATGCTATTATTCACTTGCAGAGTATTTTGAGGATAAGTAAGCTGAATGGACTTCAATATATAAAAATTTTGATTTTGGACATGTATTCTATATTTTGATGATTTATTTAATTTGTTTGACATTGTACGATACTGATTACTGGAGGATCCCGAAAGCTAATATTAGACATTTATTATTTTACATTTTGATTATTAATTTTAGTATGAATCGACACCATTGTATGATTTTATTGTATTATTATTGGATTTTGAACACTGGACATCTATTTTTTTACATTTTGTTGAATAATTTTATATTTATTTGACATTGTATAATATTGATTATGAAATGATCTTGGCATGATACTGATAAGGTTAACATTACTCTTTAATTTTAATTTGATTTAAAAACTGCTGCATGCTGTTTAACAGTAAAATATGTGAGACATGAGAATTAATCAAACACCTTTTATACCATATTTTTATGCAATAAATAATTATTATTATTATTATACAATGTCATAAAGAACATTCCTGTGGGAATCTCAAAATGCTAACACTTCTTCGCCAGCAAGTTTCACAGCACTGTTACAGTTAAATAACATTATTTTCTCATCATTCGTACCCCAGTTTCGGTTTATTTTAAATCGAAATGGCTGCTCCAAAGGAGTTGAAAATCGGAGATGCAATGTGAGAAAGAAACAGATGGGGACCTTTGTTCCTTTGCGCTTGAAATTCTCAGAAAATATCGCTACAAAGTGTTTCGTAATGACACAACTGCGGTGCCTATCAAAGAGTAATGACACCCAGAGTGGTTTCGTGGAATAAATAAACGACACTCATCAATAAATTGGTTATCTTAAATGATAATATTGCCCGGATAACTCATAGAAACCGGCCAAGTGAGAGTTTAACTCGCGCATGAATGGTTCAGTACCATTATCATTATTAACAAACAACATTAGACACTAGGGTGGGTTACCTTTAATGCGAAGAGATGGTGCTGCCTTGCAGCTTAAGAATGGCTAGAAGAATTCGACGCGGCCATCAGGGCCGTGGTAGCATAATTGGTCAGTGCATTCGCCCGGATTGCGAAGGGTGCGGGTTCGAGTCCCGTCTGCTGCCCGGACCGCGCGGAATTTTTTCTAGTTATATTTTCTTTAGATTTAAACATCAAGCAGTTACATGCTTAAAAAATTAAAATTATAATTAGACACTATATTAAAATGCTGAACAAAAAACGTCTGTTGTACGAGAAACTACCACCCTTAAACATTCTATTTATTGTAATTACAATAAGCTTCTTATACGTTTTTCTATAATCTACAAAGATAGAGCTACATTCCAAATTTATTTTTATTTTTCAACGCGGTAATTTCGGAAGTTAGGTCTCACCCTTTCCGAAACTACTGCGTCTAAGGCCCGTATTATAGAAAGATTCTTAGTGATTGATCTAGTTTTGAGCATAGTTAGAAAGGTATGTCGCTATATATAGCATATAGCGATATCCCTTTGTAATTGTACTCAAGTAAAGATCAACACTTAGTTGTTATTCTGTAATACGGACCTAAAACAAGCCAAATTTCATCTATTTTCAATGATTTAAATAGGTATTCATTTCACAAAAAATCGTGTGCCTCTCGGAACGCACTACGGAATTGATAACTTAAACTAATCTAAGCGGTGCGGCGGCGCTGCGGGTTAGTGTCGCCGCACATGGGCCACACGCCACAGCCACAAACGCCGCCACGAGAAGCTAGAAGCGGCTACTAAAATGGCTGAAGCGCGCGACAGCGGCCGACTAAGGTAAGGGAGAGAAGGGTGGGGAATCGCGCGAGTGACGTGTGGCGGCATTTTGTATCGGCGCATTAAGTGGCCGGTGCGGGCCACAAGAAGCGAGCAACGACGATTTGTAGCGTGTGGCGGCCACCGGCGTACCGTGTGTGGCGAGTCCATATAAAATGTATGAAAACTACAAGAAATATGCCGGTGGCGGCGTTCTGTGGTTGTGGTCGGTGGCCCGTGTGCGGCGACACTTACAGAGAGATAGGAGGAGTCTGCCTACCGCTGCCGTATGCCTGAGAGGAAGGGAAGCCTGATGCCTTAACGCGTTACGTAACGAAATTGTTTAATCTCCTGTAAGAAGTTATCACTTCGAAATATGTTTAAAACTTTCGCATTGAGCCCTTTTATTTGATGTATAATAGGTCCAGTAGATTCCGAGCAAATCGATTGTGACGAATAGACAACCAAATGATCCTGTAGGGGTTCCGTTCTTACCGCTTGAGGTACGGAACCTTAATTATTAAAAAAAACATAAAAGACAATAATTCTTTAAGCAACACCTAAGATTCTTTAAAATTATATTTTACATCCCAGTTGTAGGTATAATTATTTGTTCAATTTGATAACATAAAGCTATTTCTTATTAGAAGAAAGCCAGACTACGGAGAGACGAAAGTTAGGCTACGGAGAGACGCAAGCTAGCCTACGGAGAAATGCAAACGAGCCTACGGAGAGATGTAAGCTAGACTACGAGGAGACGTATTCTAGGCTAGGGAGAGATACAAGCTAGCCTACGGAGACACGCAAGCTAGGCTACGGAGAGACGTAAGCTAGCCTACGGAGACACGCAAGCTAGGCTACGGAGAGACGTAACCTAGCCTATGGAGACACGCAAGCAAGCCTACGGAGATATGTAAGCTAGACTACGGAGAGACGTAAGCTAGGCTACATAGAGATGCAAGCTGGCCTACGCAGACACGCAAGCTAGGCTACGGAGAGACACAAGCTAGCCTACGGAGTAACGCAAGTTAGCCTACGGAGAGATGCAAGCTAGGCTACGGAGAGACGTAAGCTAAGCTACGGAGAGACTTAAGCTATGGAGTTTGGAGAGTTTGCCCATGCACGTTCGGGAGCTTATCCCGAAACGAGGGGATTACGTTACAATTAAGATTAGTGTGCGTTGCAGTAGGAAGTTGTCGGTGACGATACCTCTTCGAGTTTATGTCTGCTACGACCAAAGCTAATAGACTTATATAGTCAAAGTACTTGATCAGATAGGTTTCGAACCAGCATTCGCTTCATTCATTTTAACCGATAAAAAAAAGGATGTACTCAGTTTGACGTCATCGGTTTACTCACTCTCTGTGCGAGTTCGACTCCGGGTCGTCCGGGTTCCGCAGCCGAAGGTTCTTGCTGATGTCCACGGTCTCGTTGGAGTGGCGGCTCACCGAAAGTTCTCCGGGCAGAATCATGGCGGTCTCCGCTGGAAGAGAAGTGCTAGATTTAACCGGCTTCGAAAAAAAAATTGGAGGTGGTCTTTGTTTTTTTTTATAAATGATTTTGCTCAACACTCTGTGATTACAATTTTTTTTATAACATACCTACTTATCTTACAACTCGTCTAGTTTAAATAGTAAAATATGAACGAGTACTACGAAAAATTGAGCATTAAAGTAAGTTTGCGTTTTCAGGGAATCAGTTCATCCCTCATGTGCTGATAACTGCTGGAACCTCTAAAAAGGTCTTTTGTTCTGGTAATATTACCTTTAAATGCACTTAGCTATCAGATGATAAGGCGCGGTATTAATGGCTAGCTATATTCTAGAAACATTACCTTTTAAAGACACATGGCTGCTAGCCAAAGAGCCGTTCGTGGCAAGCTCCCCTCTGCACTAAGGAGGGACAGTGCCTACCCCCGCGTGCTGAGGACGGAAGGAACTCCTAAAAAGTACTTTTAGAGAATTTTGATCTAGAAACATTACCTTTCAAAGGCTTATCGCTTTCAGCCGAGTAGCCATGATGCTCTAGGCAGGCTCTTCTCTGCACTAGGGAGCGACAGTGCTTCCCACGTGCTGGAGACTGCAGGATCTTTCTGCTCCTCTCCATGCTGGCAGAGCTACCTGGACCCCCAAGGAAGTATTTTCCTTTTCGCTGAATGTTTCTCTTCTCAGTTTTATCTTACACCATCTTTTCATAGCATTATTAGCCGGCGTGATCTTGCCAGTCTCTTCGCTTAATTAGAGAGTCAGTGCATCCCTCATATGATGATAAGTCCTGGAACCCCTCAAAAGGTACTTTATTCTAGAAACATTAATTTAAAGACACGCCATTGTCTGCTGAGCATCCGTGATGCTCTTGGCAAGCTCTCCTCTGCACCAGGGAGAGGCAGTGCCTCCCCCCACGCGCGGAAGACTGCAGGAATTCCTAAAAAGTAATTTTAGAGAAATTTCTTTTAGCATTATTACCTTTTAAAGGCACGTCGCTGTCAGCCGAACACCCATGATGCTCTTGGCAAGCTCTCCTCTGCACCAGGGAGGGGCAGTGCCTCCCCCCGCGAGCTGGGGACTGCAATATCTTCCTGCTCCTCATCATGCTGCCGGAGCCGCAGGTGGTGTCGCACTCCGACCACGGACCCCAGCTGGAGACCACGCAGTCGATCACTGGTGGAAGAAAAATTTAGTCAGAATGACTACAGTAAAGTACATTAATGTTATAAGTTAACTTATTACGCACGTGCAGAGAGTCGGCACAAAACCAAAACCTAATTTCTGCATACCCGCAAGATCTTTTGATAGAAACTACTTACTACATATTTATCTGTTACTAGCTGTGCCCCGCGGTGTTACCCGCGATTTATTACTGTATTATTTGACGGTTTTATTATTTGACGACCTCCGTGGTCGAGTGGTTTGCACGCCGGGTTTCATGGTGTCGCCGACTCGTGAGGTCCCGGGTTCGAATCCCGGTGGGGGCAGATGTTTGTGTGATGAATACGAGCATTTGTACTCCAGTCATGGATCTTTAATATGTATTGCTTTATAAATATACTTATATATGTACAGTATATGTATTCTATCCGTTACCATAGTATCCCATAACACAAGCCTTACAGTGCTTACTTTGGGGCTAGGCTAATTGGTGTGAATGTTGGAAATATTATTATTATTATTAGGGATATTTTCCCGCAGTAAAACGTAGCTTATGTGTTAATCCAGGATATCACCTAACTCCATACCAAATTTTATTAAAATCGCTCCAGCCGTTTAGTCGTGAAGAAGTAACGAACATACACACTCACAAACTTTCGCTTTTATAATATTAGTGTGATTAGCACCAAAGTTCAATATTCATTAAATATTTTATAAGTATTTATTATTATGTCATATATTTAATTTAGCTTTATAACGCCGTTCGTTTTTCATTTTTACGTCCGAATCCGAATTTTGTGGCATTGTTGTGTATTTTTGGATTTTATTTAATTCATTTTAAATTTAACTATTACAAGTGCTGCCCGAGATTTTATTCTAAAGATCAGTAGCACTTTATAATGTGACTTAACTTATTTCGTGAAAGCGCTTTAAGGCTTTTTAGGGAAATAGTAAAAAGGTGAGTCGATATTACAGGAGACCGAAGAGCTGGTTAGTCTAGCTATTCAAAGGGGGTTCCCCCTTTGAGTATCTTCGGAACCTTGCCTAAAGGGACTCATTTTAATAATATATTATTTAAGGTTTTTAGTTTTAGGTACATTGTTCTAGTATAAATTATTTTATTTCTGTATAAATACACAGTATTATTATAATTAGGTATATAATGTTGTTGTACGTACAATTATTTTATTTTTTATTTTATTTTATTTTATTGATTTAGGTAACAAACGGTCTCTAACAGTAATATTTGCTTAAATTAAATAATGTATGACTAGACCTATAGTACCATAACTTAAATAAATATTATGTTCAAACAAATTGAGTCTATGAGAAACTTTTTAGTTACTGTTTACAAAATGTTTCAAAATCTTTACAATCTACTAGTACAACATTACCAACTATTATTATTACCAACTATTGTAATTAGGTCTATTATTAATGCTAGTACTTTCGTGAAAACCATTTTAGATGTTAATCTAAAACCTAAGTAAACTGAGAGCAGTTTACTTAAATTTCATTTTAAAAATAATAGATAAGTTACAAAGATTTTGGCATGCATAATGTTATTTTCATTAGCTTTTTCCTCTCAACAAAATAAAAACAGAAAACTGTCATAATAATTCGGAAACTTTCATCAAAATCGGAGCCGCCATGGACGATTTATTTCTTGTCTTGAAACTTTCGGTAAGTATAACATTTCCTTGAACATTAATCAGGTTACCAGATGCAAATGTTAAGTAAAAAAGAAGTTAAGTGAATATATCTTCGGTGTTTTTTTTCGTTTATAGGAAGTTGGAAGTTTCTCCCTTATATTATTAAATAATAATAATAATAACTTTATTGCTTAAAATAAATATTATAAATATGAAAACAGTGATCAGAGGCGACGAGCGTCCCAACATGTGCGACTAAGAGATCCTATTATTATTTTGTTGGAAGCTTTTTTTCGAGACTTACGAGTAATGTGCGGTTTAGCGGCCGATTTCATGGTGTTACTTATCTGTTACAGTGTTGCGCGCGCATCTTAAAATTTCACTCTCATCATTTTTTCATAACGCGCCCGCGGCTAACTTCATTATGTTACTTTTCTTTTACAGTGATGCGCGCGCATCTTAAAATTTCACTCATAATTTTTTCATAACGCGGCTAAAGAAGTATAACTTCAAAAAACTGTGTACAATTTTGCAGTTGGAATTGCAATAATAACAAAGTCACAACAGTGTGCCCACAACGGGCATGCAATGGTAAAATTTATAACTTAAAACTATCTTAATTTAAAAAGTACATTTTAGAGCCTAAATTATATTAAGTTTTACAAGTATAATATTCATCAAGATTATAAAAAACATTATTTAATAACCAGCTTTTTAACTTGAATTTAAACAGTGGCAAATTGTGTGCTTTAATTTCTGCAGGCAAATGATTGAAGATCCTTATGCTAGTACTGAAAACGCTATTATAATACATCATCATCATCATCAGCCTCTTAATGTCCCCACTGCTGGGGCACAGGCCTTCCCTATGGATGGAATAGGGAGATTGGGCCATGACCCACCACGCGGGCCCAGTGCGGATTGGCGGGTGCTAACGACTGCAGATGCAACCGGGACCAACGGCTTAACGTGCCTTCCGAAGCACGGAGGAACTCGAGATAGAAATTTGTGGTCACCCATCCAATGACCGACCACTGCGAAAGTTGCTTAACTACAACGATCGCAGCCGAACGCGCTAACCACCTGCGCCATCGAGCTCCTATATATACGCCATATAATACAAGTGATTATTTATCCTAGTTAGTAACACAGTTTCGGGCACATACTAACTTAGATATTCCACTTTACGCAGCGTTCTTAACCGACTTCAAACTGGATAGAGGTTCTTACGTTTGCTACAACATTATTTCGGACTAGCGGCCCGCCCTCGCTTCGCTTCGGTGTAGAGCTGAAGTGTAGGCTACAGTTTTGTTCTCAGGCTTGTATTATACACAATGACATTCATCTATGATTCTTCTTCTACATGCATGCAAAGTCTCAGCCCGATCGGTTTAAAATTGACAAAGTTTCATACAAACTTTCATTCCCTATTTTGTCCCTTTGGGGGTAGAATTGATCAAAATCCTTTCTTAGCGGATGCTTACGTCATAACTTCTACCTGCATGCCAAATTTCAGCCCGATCCGTCCAGGGGTTAGGGCTATGCGTTGAAAGATCACAATGTCAGCCAGTCACCTTTGAATTTTAAATATATATATATATATATATAGATTAGATAGAGAGATAGACGATAGATAGATATATATAGTAGATTTGTGGACCAATTTTGATGATTCTTTTTGGAACGAAGTTGGAACGAAAAACGGCGCAATGCGCACTGGGCCGAATCCGCAATGGGGCCTAATCCGCATTGGGCTGAGTATGGATTCGTGGGTAAGATACTTCTTCTGATGGAATAGAGAGATTGGGCCATGACGCGGACCCAGTGCGGATTAGTGGGTTGTTTATAAATATTTTTTAATTCGTTACAACCGAGTGTTCCATGACACTCCCGCATTTCTTTTGTTTGTTAGAATGAAATTTCTTTAGAAATAATATTTAGAGGATATGATGCATTATTTGTTTTTGTTAGAATATGAAGATCATGAAGATATGATATCTGAGTTAGTGAAGAGAAGAGATATGAAGTATGAAGTCAGTATTTACTTTTGTTAACTTCAAAACCTTGTTCATATCTCTTGAATGACAATTTTTATTCGTGTAAGAACTCATTCCGCCGCCAAAACAAACAGTGTTCACTGCCCATTGCTCGAAAGGCAAAGGCGATGACAAAACATCAAACGTACGACAGAGAAATATTTAAATATATATCTAATCAAGTCAACGAGCTTACAGATGATTGCATGCAAATAGCTGGGGAAAAATAGCGGAAGAGACTCACTGACAATATGAATACCAAAGCCACTTCTTTGGTGCTGAGCTCAGACGGCAAGCTGTGCGAAATATTACATTTAACACTTTTAAATAGTCCAACACTTCATCATCATCATCATCAGTCTATTAATGTCCCCACTACTGGAGCACAGGCCTTCTCTATGGATGGTATAGGGAAATTGGGCCATGACCCACCACGCGGGGCCAGTGCGGATTGGCGGGTGCTAACGACTGCATATGCAGCCGGGACCAACGCCTTAACGTGCCTTCCGAAGCACGGAGGAGCTCGAGATAGTAAATTATTGGTCACCCATCCAATGACCGACCACTGCGAAAGTTGCTTAACTTCAACTATCGCAGCCGAACGCGCGTACCACTTGCGCCATCGAGCTCCTCTTAAGTCCAACACTTATTGATGTGTAACATCTTTCCTCTTGCTTTCCTGCAATTTGTGGGAGTGATTACGTGAAATGGGACGGAAGTGTGTAACAAGAAGTCGCGAAAGCGCGCGCTATTTGATTTGATTTTAGAAC